ATTATGTGTGTTTTTACATTTTTCCTGAAGCTATCCTAACTGACTCCAATCCCCCATCATTTGAATTCATATCTTCCAGAATATGCTTGCGGAAAATGAAGTCTCAGCCCACTAACTGACTGTTATTATCCTTTTTTGCCTCCATCCCTGCTCTTTGAAGACATACACAATAGGTACAATTTTTTTTCATATGCTGATACTTGCATTACTCTTTATTTTGCAACTGTCAATTTGTTATTTTATAAGTGTACAAACTACTGAATAACTATTAAATCAGTATAATTGATGCATAGGAACGTTAAAATTTACAAAAGAAAAGAAAAAAATCCGTACAGATCTGTGAGTGTTGTTCATTTGGGCTGAGGTGCAATATAATTAACCGTCCATCTTGGAGTATCCTCCTTGCCCTAGTAGGTACAGGGGGTGGTACCCGCCTCGGGCTGTCCGTTTTGGCTGCCTGCTGCAGGGCAGGCTGCGCGCGCCGTGCTGGCTAGACTGAGAGCCCTACTACTGTCCAGCAGGCTTGGCCTGGCCCGGCCTGCACGGCTCTGTGTCCATCACGGTTCATCAGTCCTGGCCGGGCAGTGGACCCGGGCCGAAGTCGAACCGAGCTGACCACCACACCAGGCCAGGCAGCCAGGTCCTCTGACGGCGGTCTGGGCCCAGCTCCAGCCTAGCAGCCCAGCGGCAGTTCGAGGAGACGCCAAGTCCCCTGCCACCGTGGCCACCCCGTCACCACGACCACGACGACAGGTGAGCAGTACGCACTGGTGTGTACCCGAACCCCCCGGGGGCCTGTCGCCGCGCTGGCGAAGCTCCGTCCCGATTCAGCGGCCCTCTAGCGGACGCGGGTGGCCCGCCTGTTCATTCTCACTCTCTTCACCAGTGAGAATGAACTTGCTTGAAAAGTGCACCACCAAGCCCGATGAAACCGCATGTATACTTTTGCGGAGGAGATAGTACAGAAGGGTAGTTTACATCATTTTTTGTCTCGGACTTGTACTGTGAAGTCGTGTTAGGATGCCGGGAGGGCAGAGGAAACCGTCTCTCACTCCCATCCTCATCTCGTTCGAAACAAATGGGATCTTTGATTAAATCGACGTCGGTCCGCGCGGCCGCGGTGACAGCAGCAGTAGCAGTAGCAGCGCCCAGCTCCTCGGCGCAATCAGCCCCGGCCGGCTCATGGGCGGACCTGTCGCGGACCTAACCCGGCCGCCGCGGGGACGCGGGACTTCCCTCTCACGCCGGCCGCCGCCGCCGCCGCCGCGCCGAGCCGCTGCAGCTCTGTCCACTGCTCTGATTGCTCACTTCCGCTTTGCGACCCCCGCCGGCCCGCGGCCCCGGCCCCCGGGCCCGGCTCGCCGCGCATTCTAAAGCGCTCTCACTCTCGGCCGCGGGCGCGGGGCACCGCCGCCGGGGGGAATGCTTTACACGCCCCCATCTTGTTAACTCGGACTACCTCCCGGGCCCGATGAGCGGAATGCTGTTATTTCGCGCGGCTGAGATTCCCCGCGAAATTTCCGCAAAATGCCGCGTGTTCTTTACCGTCGTGGGAGGCGCGGGGGCGGCGGGGGCCTTCAGAGGATCAGTGGTAAACGACAAGTATAGTGGTGGGCACACAGTCAGCCAGCGCTTCTTGTCTTCGGTGCGGTGCGGCTGCGCCGGTCCAGCAGCAGCAGCGGCAGCATGGACCAGGTCGGCGGGGCGCTGCCCACCCTGCTGCCGGGGGACATCCTCCTGGGCACCACGCGCTTCACCGACTCGCACGTCTTCGGCCTCGTCGACTACACCGTGTTCGGCGCCATGCTGCTCGCCTCGTCCCTCATCGGGATCTACTTCGCCTTCTGCGCGACCCGCAAGCAGGACAACACCGCCGAGTACCTTATGGGCGGCAAGACCATGGGCGTGTTCCCGGTGTCCATGTCGCTCATCGCCAGGTAAGAGTCCGCCGAGAAAGCAGGAAAAAACGGACACGGGAATAAAGGAAAACAAATTTTTGCTATTCTCTCTCTCCGCCAGTTACATTTCGGGCATCTCGCTCCTGGGACTTCCGGCCGAGATGTACACCTACGGCACGCAGTACTACCTCATCGTCCTGGCCGAGGCCTTCGTCAGCCTCACCATGGCAACCGTCTACCTCCCAGTCTTCTTTAAGCTCCAGATCACCTCTTCGTACGAGGTAACTCTGGATATGCAGACGAGAGGCTCCGAAGGGTGAAGGGGTGGGATAGGCAACATCTCTTGCGTCGCACGCCTGTCTGGCGGGCTGCCTACCCTCGCCACCGAAGGGGCTTCGGGGTGTACAGTACCCGCCTCGCCTCCTCTGAGCTGCTCTCAAAGCTTTCGCTTGTGCTTGAATTTGTGTTCCAGTACCTCAACCTGCGGTTCAACAAGACGGTGCGGCTGCTAGGGTCCTGCCTATTTCTCGTCAAAATGGCAAGTCATTGCCACCGGAAAAAAATAATTCAATTACAACCATGCAAACACAACTTTTTTATTTTTTTCATCCGACAACGCAGCTATTGAAGTGTCTCGCGGTTTCAGCTGCTGTACATGCCGATTGTGATATATGTTCCTGCGCTCGCGTTCAGTCAAGGTGAGTCACGTGATGTGATGGAGTGATCAGCGTGCCCGCCGGACCACATCACCGCGCCCCGCCCTCTTTTATGCCCTCTGATTGTAATTAACAACCCCCTGATGGATGGTGCTCCAGCTCCACAATCGAGGAATACATCATAAATCAACAGAGGAGAGAGAACTCTCGGCGGGCACGCGCTGTTCTGTTTTGCATTTTTCACTGTCAGAAAACGAGCCGTTTGTCGTTCAGTCCTGATTTTTTTCACTCTCTCACTTTTACCCCCCCCCCCCCACAGTAACTGGAGCCGATCTTCATGTCATCACGCCGATTGTGTGTGTCGTCTGCATATTTTACACAACGCTGGTGAGTCTATATAGGTCCTCGCGCATTAAACTCGACCGAACTGCACGTTAACGACTGTTTTGCCCGCGCAGGGTGGGCTGCGCGCCGTGGTGTGGACGGACACCCTGCAGACCGTGCTTATGGTGCTGGGCGTCCTGGCCGTCCTCATCCTGGGCACCATCAGCGTCGGCGGCGTGGGGGTCGTCTTCAGCAGGGCGGCCGCCACGGACCGCCTCGAGTTCTTCAAGTGAGTAGCCGGGCGCGTACCTGCCACAGCAGTCCCATGGAACACGGAGACATCACGAAGAGGACGGAATTTTGACATGTTTTGGTCCTAAAAACGTCAGTCTCGTGACTTTTTCGTGTTTCCTGCAAGCTGCGCTCGGAAAGTAGCCGCGGTTACTTGCCAACTTGCAAGACATTTTACCTCCCTTAAAATCTCTCTCGTCTGGCGGCCGTCAGCATGGACCCAGACCCCACGGTGCGGCACACCTTCTGGACCGTGGTGCTGGGCAACTACTTCAACTGGCTGGCGTCCTGCGCCGTGAACCAGGCCATGGTGCAGCGCTGTCTCTCCATGCCCACGCTCGCGCGCGCCAACCTGTGAGTACCGCAGGGGGAGCTTCTTGGGCTCGGCGAAGCGGATGCGATGGAAATTGAAAATATGGCGCGAGGGTGAAGAATAACACTGGGGGAGCTTTTGTTGCGCGGATAGTTCCGGAAACCGGAACACCCCCGTGTGGCCCGTGGCGATGACGGAGTGGAACGGGAGGTTGGAAGGCGCCACGCTGTGTTGCCGGAACGGATGCGGGGAAGGCTGCATCGCATCAGACACGGCAACGGGACCCCAAGGAAACCGTGATACTCACGAAATCGTCACGGTTGTTACCATGAGGTCACCGTCGGGTCACCATGACGTTCTTTTTGACAGCACCAGTAAACGCACATGTGGAAAAATTTTGCTCCAGGGCCACAAGGGCGTCATTGTGAGAAAAACGTTTTGATTGGAACGCGACGGGGACGTCCTGAGTCCGACTAGAACCCCCCGCCTCTCTTATCCGCATGGAAAAAAGAATAAGTAAAAGAGTCACGAAAAAAACAACAAAAAAACAAGTTGAATTGATGTCCCGGTGCCGCAGCACGGTGATGATCCTGGTCATCGGCATCTTCCTTCTGGTGTCCATGAGCTGCTATACGGGGCTGCTCATCTTCGCCACGTTCCACGACTGCGACCCCGTGTCGGCGCGCGTCATCAGCAAGGCCGACCAGCTGCTGCCCTTCTACGTCATGGAGCTGGCCGGAGCGGTACCCGGCCTGCCCGGGGTCTTCATGTCCGGCGTGTTCAGCGCCGCGCTCAGGTGACCGTCATCCTCCCTCTGCTTGCCAAGGGGTACTTCACTCACAACAATCAGTGTACCATTTTAAAAAAAACCCACAAAATTTCAAGGAAAATCAATAACAAATAATAAAAACTCAGTTAAAAGGTAAAGAAAAAAAATCAAAATTAAAATCAAGAAAAACAGATTTTTGTGAACGCTTGAATTTATACCGCTCGCCGTGGCCACATGTGTCCTCCTCTGTCCCGGCAGCTCCATGTCCACGTCGCTCAACTCGATGACGGGGGTCATCTGGGAGGACCTGGTGCGGCCGCACCTCAAGCGGCCGGTGTCTGAGCAGCGCGCCTCGCAGGTCCTCAAGCTCCTGGTGGTCGCCATCGGGGCCGTGTGCGTCGGCCTCGTCTTCCTGGTGGAGCGCATGGGGGCCGCCCTAGTGCAGGTCGAGCAGGCCGACGTCTAAAACAATTTCAACTTCCTCAAAACAATTACAAATTTCAAGCACAAGTTTTTCTTTTCAGGCCAGCAAGATGATGTCGGGGATCACGGCGGGGACGCTGCTCGGCGTGTTCTCCCTCGGCATGTTCTTCCCGTGGGCCAACTCGCAGGTGCGTCCGGTCTGTCCGATCCCTGCGCGGTAAACCGCTCAGCTGCCTCTCAGCCTGCTGAGCTTCCACCCTGAACGTCCATCCCGCCTCCGTCCGCAGGGAGCGCTGGCGGGCGGGCTGGTGAGCTTCGTGCTGGTGGCCTGGATCTCCATCGGGACGCAGACGGCCATGGCGCGCGGCGACATCCGCTTCCAGGGGAAGCCCGTGTCGCTGCAGGGCTGCTCTGCGGGCGTCTTCTCCCTCAACAAGACGCAGCTGGTGTCGCCGTCGGACAACCACGCGTAAGTACCCCTCGCTGCACCGTATACTCCGCGTCGCCATGCGCGGCTGGCAGGGGGTACGTACTGTCAGTACGCGTTCACTCCATCATCGCCGGGTGCCGTTGTCCCACAGCGTGTTCCCCCTGTACCGGCTGTCCTACCTGTGGTACACGGCCCTTGGCGCCATCTCCGCCATCGCCGTCGGCTTGCTGGTGTCCTTCCTGACGGGGCCCACGGACCCGAGCACCGTGTCACGAGACCTCCTGGCGCCCGTGGTGCACAACCTGGTGCCGTCGGCGGCGGCGGCCGCCTCCCCGCCGGCGACGCCCGAGGAGCACCGCCGAGCCAAGGACCGGGGCAAGAAGGTGAGGCACGAGAGGAAAATCAAACACGATGTCGTGTCACCGCCTTTCTGACTCAAGCATTGTGCCAGAAAAGTAGGCAATAAGTAGACAGGCCAGGACAGCCAGCTCCATACACCTGTGTGTTTGGCCTACTTATTGCCTATTTTACTGGAAACTGTGATTAACAACTAACGTTGACGTGCTTGTGGTGCAGAACGGACGCGCCGCTCAAGAGACGCACTTCTGAAGGAGCTCCGCCCGGCCGGTAGGCCACCCATCCTACCGTCTGGATCGCACTGCCAAACAGAATCTCTAGTCAATGCCTGCCAGGCCATCGCAGCAATGCACCACCGTCCTCTGTTCGATGTGGTGGCGGACAACAGTAGTTTACAGCCCGCAGATCTCCGGGTGAAGGGCGAGCGTCCCCCTCCTCCTCAATGTTGGATTTGCTTTGGCGTGTGCGTCGCAATCCTGGTGGGTTGTCCCGGGTTGCCATTGCGCTTTGCCACGACGGCTAGCGCTTTTTTGACTTTTAGCTCTTGGTGGTTCACTCCCGTTGTATCTATGACGATTTCGCGTCATCCGATTCTGTTCTAGTGAACGGAAATTGTATACATAGCATTTATTGTTTTTAGGATTACGTACGTACCACTGCCATGGTCTAGATTTTTCTTCGGGGTGCATGGGGGCGCGGTTGCGGTTGGTCGCAGGCGACCATGCGTGATCGAATTTGGGATCGTACGCAGAAAGTACGCTCGTTTTTTTCAGATTCGTTTGGCAAATTATGGAAGCTTAGCGCTTAGGCGCCTGTGAGACTCGGGTTAGGCCACACCGCAGTACACGCATGCTCTTTACGCAAAATGTTGCCTACCTACCAGGCGCTATGCGAGTTTGCAGAGGCTGAACTTGCAGGTTCGTAACGGCGAATGACGGAAGTACTTTCTGGAAGGCCCCTTATTCTACGAATGCTTGACCCCCCTCATCAAATAATTCAGGCTCATATATTAATGATACTGATATCGAATAAAGTTTGTACTTTCGACGAATGTGACGCGTCAACTCTCTATAGTTTGCCGACCACGACAACTCCATCAATCACAAATACAGACGTATTTACGCGCTGTCGTCACCCCACAAATAACAGCAAAACCCGCGCAACAAAAAGCATTAAAGTTTTTTTTCCCTCTCCCCTCTCTCGCTCTTCTTGTTTTTGCGCGTGCGTCGTCGTCGTGTTGTGCCGCGGCGGCGCGTCTCCGCAGCCGGCATGCCAGGCCATCATAGGCCGCCCCGCCGCCACCCAGAGGGTCGGCTTATCCGCACACTCTGTCAACACGTTCGTGGAAGAGGCCTGCTGCTGCTGCTGCCTGCTGCTGCTGCTGCTGCTCCGATCATCCAGCCAGCGTGTTGTGGCGTGACGCAGCGTGGCGTGGCGTGGCGCAGCGCGTCGCGCGCGAGGCCGCCGGGCCGCGGGGAAGTCCTTGGCCGTGGCGCCAGCCTCAACCTCCCCAGCCCCGCCCCTCCTCTCCCTCGCACGCGCTTTTATTGGGTCACGGCTCTTCCTCTTGTGTGTGTGTGTGTGTGTGTGTGTGTGTGTGTGTCGTCTGCGCCATCTCCCTCACCTGCCCGATGTGTGTATTTGCCATCCTGGCGTGATCGGACCGAAGGGGTTGGGAAAAATATATACAACAAGAAAAGGAGTCTAACCTCACCTATAAATGTATTAAATATCGCTCCTTCTTCACCATTCCCCGAAAATTTCCCTACGGCTGTGCGACAACCTCACCGCGTCGTGTGTGCGTTCGCGATATGCGAAGGGTCCCCGTCAATAAGTCATCATGACACGACGACGGCGTTATGTGGTCGCGTGCCGCGGGGGTTGTGGGCTCACCGGGGGGCGACCGGCCGGCGGCGTCCTCGAGGAACAGGAGATCGACTAGAGGGATTTTGATTGGCAGCCCGCAGGGGGGGCGTTACGGGGCGAGGCGGGCGGGGC